CCCCAAAACCCCAAAACCCCAAAACCCCAAAACCCCTAGAACAGCCTCAGAATTGAAACTCATAACTCTTATTCTCAAAAATATTAAAACCTCGCTCCATACCCTACTGATTCATCAATGTATTCATTACCAAGTTGTTTTTAGCTTTGTGGGAGACCTCACTGTATCTAAAAAGTTATGAAAAACTTACTCCAGGTTCTCAGGATATTTATTAAAGAAGAACTCATCAGGGTTCAGCAGCTGCTTCTCTTCCTTCTTTTCCTTCCTTTTAATATACGCTTGGAACCTCCTATCACATCACTCGCAGAGCTTGAAGGAATCCTCAGAATTGGATGACTCAGAACTAGACTGTAAAATCAGAGACTTACTCAGATCAGGACCCTGTCTCTATCTTCTGGGTATTTGAGCTATCTTTTGCTGGTCCTGACACTTCTGAGCATATTCTAGAGCTTCTCTCCTGCTGGGCAGCCACTAAAAGATAAAAGAATTGAGCTCACCGATCTCCTTGCCATAATAGTCTTCCTGAGCGCTCTTGAGTAGCCTTTTCCTCTCCCGCTTATTTACATTCTTTTCCTTGAGAACGAGATCAGCGACCATTACTGATCACATTTTGACAAAGCTGTCTACTTCTTTGTCTTCCATATTATAATATTTGCCGAGCTCGGTCTTCTATAGCTTGGTGATGCTAATGGGTACCTTTGTATTTCCAGGACTCTCTTCGGACGCCTTCTCTTGATCTGACCCTGAAATAATGTTAATCTTGTAGTATATTGAGATGTCATTTTCATTCCCTATCACTTGGTCCGCTACAAGTTAGCAAGAAACTTTACTCTTGAGTTGAGTGTAACCACCCTTTCCAGAGGATAATTTCTTGTAGAAAACCACCTTGGAGTTGGTCAGCAAGTTATCCCACTGCTTGGTCTTCAGCCTTTCAACCACATCGGTGATTGTAGTTCTTCCTTGAGAACTATTTTTGAAGACCAGGTTGATGAAAGGAGACACTTTCAAGTGGTTCATCATCCCTTTCACTGAGCTATTCAATGGTATCCTACAAATGAGAATGTTCACTTACAGAGACACTTTTACACCTTTGCTCATTCTTTTCCTCTTGGAAGTCTTCTTACTGGAATCTAAATTTAAAAATAAGTTTTGGAATTTAAAATCTTCTTCCTCTCTAGTTGCAAGGGCCTAAGCTAGCCAAGACTTTCAGCATGAATAACCCTCTGAGATGAGAAATCTAACTGACGGATAGGTGGAATAGTGAAAAAGAAAGATAGCTAAAACTGGTCCAAGGATACCCTTCAAATTTCTCAAACTTAAAATCTCACTTTTTCCTTCACTTTTAGGCACCTTTTCTTCCTCAATAGTCTTCTTAGACTGATCCTCACTCAAGTCTTGCTCTAGGGATTGATCAAGAAGGCTGTGTGATTTGGGGCTCTTTTTCGCGTTCATTTTAATAATTGTTCAATATTATCAAACTAATTAGGGGTTTTGGGGTTTTGGGGTTTTGGGGTTTTGGGGTTTTGGGGTTTTGGGG